TGTGTGTGTCTCAGGGCCCCTTCACTTACGTGTTGCCGAACCGGCCCAGGCCCCCCGGCGCCCTGAAAGCGCAGACATGGTCGCGTCGCTAACAAAAAGTCAGGACGGAGGTCCTTCGCCGTTTTCGGCCTCTAGTGGCCCTCGCCAGGCCCTGGGACCGTCAAAAAACGACCCGTGTCGAAAAATCGGTCCCAGGGAAAGGGCCAGGACTTTTGGAGGCCGCGGACTGAAAAATCAGGACGCCGCATGCTTGGGAAACCACAACGCCCACTCATTCGCTCGTGCTTTACACCGGAGCGCGTGGGCGGAAGAAGGCACTGCCAGCCTGTTCTCACCGCTTTGCGGGAATGGCGGCACGCTGGCGGTTGACAAATTTACATTGTGTGGGGCAGGAGGAGGAGGAGAAGGAGGGAGGTGGAGGAGGAGGAGTAGGAGGAGCAGGAGGAGACGAGACGAAATCAGCCACATAAAATCACAACGGGAGGTTGTTTGTTCCCTTACTTTGTTTTCGCATGAACAGGTTCTTACCTGGTAGTACGAGTTAGTGGTTGTGGACCTCTGCCGGCTTTGCTGATGCGGCTGCTGCTCGTTACTACGCTGCTGGCGAGGTTGCCGCTGATGTGGCTGCTGCTGAAGTCGCCGTTGCTGCTCAGGATGCGGCTGGTGCTCGTGTCGCCGTTGCTGTTCATGCAGTTGTTATGTTGTGGTCATGCTGCGGCTGTTGCTCATGTCGTCGTTGCTGTTTCCGAGGTTGCTCTGTTGTGGTGGTTGTTGTAATGAGTACTGTATGCTTGTTGATAACTGTGATGGCCATCGCGTCGTTGATGCGGTTCTTGCTGATGCTGCTACTGGGGCTCTTTATGTTGTTCATGTCGTCGTCGCTGTGCGAGTATTGCTAGCTGGTAGCTCTTCCTGTTGTCGTCATGCTGCTCATGGGTCATGGGGTTCTTAGGGATGTTGCCATTCCCATGCGTGTGGTTGCTCTGTCCTTGCTACCTGTCTGGGTGCACCCCAGGTGTGCCTCAGCAGACGAGGTCCGAGCCCAGGCGGGGGCCCTGCCCTGCCAGGACCGCCCGGGCGCGCCCCCCGCAGACGCGCCGCCGGCGCGCTGGGGCAACCGCGCCGGCCCGAGGGCCTCGTTCTACCGCGGCGGTGAGGCCCAGGCTGGGGTCGGCGCCCTCTCGGAGGGAGGGAGGGAGGGAGGGAAGGAGAAGTCGGGCGTCGTGCAGTGGGGGGCGATAGGATGGGAGCTGCAGAGAAGAGGACCTTCAGGGCCCCTGCAGCGGCCCTGCAGGGCCCCAAAATGGCGCCCTCAGGGCCCGAGAAGTGCACCTTCTCTTCCACCCCCACTCATCGCCCCCCATGGAGCGACGCCCAAGGGAGGGAGGAGGGCCCAGGCATGCTCGCGTCGGGAAAAGCATCAGGACGGAGGTGTTTCAGAGTTCTCGGCCCCTGGGGGCTCTTACAAGGCCCCAGGAGGAGGGCCCAGGCATGCTCGAGTCGGGAAAAACATGTGGACGGAGGTGTTTCAGAGTTCTCGGCCCCTGGGGGCCCCTACCAGGCCCCAGCGCCGTCAAAATCCGGCACAGGATGCAGAGGCGGTCCTGGGGAAAGGGTCGGGGCTTCCGGGGACCGCGCATGGAACAAACCAAGACATCGCACGTGTGGGGAGGGGCAGGGAGCGAGGTACCGCTTCTCCGAGCTGAAAGCCAGGCTCCTGCAGTCGCACGGTGGAACGGGGTCCACTGCGCTCGAGCCGCCCGCGCGGGCGCAGCACCTGCTCGGGGACGAAGAGTTCGCCGTGACCTTGCGACGGCGGTTGCTCCGCGAGGACTTGGCTGGTCCTCCTCCTCCTCCTCCCTTCTCCTCCTCCTCCGCCTCCTCCTCCTCCTCCTCCTCCACCCTCCTTCCTCCTCCTCCTCCTCCCCTCCTCCTCCTCCTCCTCCTCCTCCTCCTCCTCCTCCTCCTCCTCCTCCTCCTCCCTCCTCCCTCCCCTCCTCCGCTCCTCCTCCTCCCTCCTCCCTCCTCCCTCCTCCCTCCTCCTCCTCCTCCCTCCTCCTCTCCCTCCTCCCTCTCCCTCCTCCCTCCTCCCTCCCCTCCTCTCCTCCCTCCCCCTCCTCCCCTCCCTCCTCCCTCCACCCTCCTCCCTCCCTCCTCCCTCCTCCCTCCCTCCTCCCTGCTCCCTGCTCCCTGCTCCCTCCTCCCTCCTCCCTCCACCCTCCTCCCTCCTCCCGCGTCCCCCTCCCTCCTCCCTCCTCCCTCCTCGCTTCCCCCCTCCGTAGCCATGTTGGCTCAAGCAATTGGGCAGGAGGCGGCAGCGGCGAGTCGTCGCTGGGCGGCATCTCGGGGCGCGCGGCGTGGCGTTGGCGTCAGTGCTGGCGGCGTGCCCTGTCGCGGCAGCGGCCCTCGGGACGGCTGCAGCGGCGCTGGGGGCAGGGTGCGCGGGCAAGGGGCTCGCCACGCTGGTATCTGCAACGGCTCGCGGCGCGTCGCAGGGCGGAGTCACGGGCAAAGCAGTGGCGGCATGTGACCTGCTGCATGTGCAGGAGGAGGCGCTGAGCCCGGTGGGCAGGGAGGCTGGCGGCGGTGCAGGCGGCGACAAGCTGACCATGAGCGGTGCGAAGGAAGTCCTTCGGCAAGCTGGCGCCCGACGGGGGATTTTTTTGCGGCGCGGCTCTGGCGGCTGAGCCGAGCACGCAATTAAGCTGGCCATCCTGACGTGAACCTGGTCCAGGACATCCTTGACCTCTTTGCGGACGTGGCGCACGACGGCATTCAGAATAAGATTAACGGCAAGACCAGGTATGGCACCTCCGGCGGACCCGCGCTGAAGGTTGCGGGTTTCAATCGACTGCACGTAATGCTGAATTTCGCTGGAGTGACCTCTGGTGCGGGCCCAAGGGGGCCCCCCGATCGCCGAACGCGATGCGCGGTACTAGCGCCTTGCGCGCTCGTGCTTGGCCCCCCCGCGGCCCCCAATGAACCGCGCACCAGAGGTCACTCTTACCCAGGGTCACTCTTGCGTGCAGTCGATTCAGCAATCGGGCGACGAAATCTATACATATCCACTGCTCCCTGACCATGCCCATCTTGAACCCAGGAGCTGTGTATGCGCCCTCCTGGCCAAGCCAGGAGGGCGTGGCGTATACACCGCTGCGGGGTTGAGGATGGGCCTGGCCTGGGAGCAGTGGACATGTATAGATTTCGTTGCCCTACAGCAAGGGTGCGCCGGCGCAGAGCAAGGGAGGGCTCCAGGCGCGAGCGGCACGGCAGCGGCTGCGGGCGGGCGGCCTGCGGCGAGGTCGTCCAGTGTGGCACGCTGGAGACGTTCCACGAGGGGCAGAAGGTCGTGGAGCAGCTGGAGGGCAAGAGCCTGGAACTCCAGGCGCGCGATGGACAAGGCCTTCTCGGAGCCTGCGAGGCAAGTCAAGATCCAGGAGGGCAAGAGCGACGAGTATCGGCGTGAGCTCTCCACGGAGCGGGCCGCAGCGGCATCGCTCAAGCGGTCCACGAGTTCGGCGAATCCATGGAGGCTGCACGCTGCATCATCAAGGGTGCGATGTTCCATCTCCCGATGTCGGACAGCAAGGAGTCGCTCGACACGGCCTTGAGTGCAATAGATAAGGGTCTTCCACAGTTTCGTAAGGTGTATTCGAATGGGTAGACACGGCGGCAAGCCCTTGGAGGGTGCTGGACAGGATGCGGCTGCCTGAGAGACAAGCATACCAGTACCAGTCCTGAGGGCGCTTGGGGGCTCGGACAGAAAGAGCCCCTTGGGGGCGTTGAACCCGATGCGGTTGTCCACAAGGCAAGCAAGCCAGCGCCAGCCTGCAACTGTGAAGTGAGATAGCCGTGTATGGGGCACTTTGCAGCGTGCATGGTATCATTCCAATAGCTGCTTAAGACTGTCTGCCTGGGATTATTGGCTTAAGGTTGTTCTTCGCCGGCGCCGAAGGAAGGGCCAAGCACATCAGAACGCTTGGCCGCCGCCTCCTTTTCCCCCCTTTCCCCCCCCTCCTCCTCCTCCTCCTCCTCCTCCTCCTCCTCCTCCTCCTCCTCCTCCTCCTCCCACTCCTCCTCCCCCTCCTCCTCCTCCTCCTCCTCCTCCTCCTCCTCCTCCTCTGTCATCTACGTGGTGGCTGTTCGGCGCCGATGTCCTGAAGCACCTGTACTCCAGAGTGCCGCCACGGCGGCGCACGTGAGGCGTCGGGCGGGCCCGCGCCTCCGCCTGAGGCTAGAACTGCGCGCGCGGAGAGTCTACTCTAGTATAATATGATCCTCCCTCCTCCCTCCTCCTCCTCCTCCTCCTCCTCCTCCTCCTCCTCCTCCTCCTCCTCCTCCTCCTCCTCCTCCTCCTCCTCCTCCTCCTCCTCCTCCCCCTCGTCCTCTCCGCCCTCGCCCTCGGCCTCGTCCTCCTCATCCTCTTCCTCCTCCGCCTCCTCCTCCTCCGCTGAACCTCCTCCTCCTCCGCCTCCTCGTCTTCCTCCTCCTCTTCCTCCTATTATTCCTCTTCCGAACTCCGAACTCCGACGAAATCCGTTCTGACTCCGAACTCCCTCCTCCTCCTCCTCCTCCTCCTCCTCCTCCTCTCATCCTCCTCCTCCTTCTCATCCTCCTCCTCATCCTCATCTCCCGCATCCTCCGAACTCCCTCCCATTCCTCCCTCCCTCCTCCTACGAACTCCTCCAGCATCCCTCTCTCTCCTCCTCCTTCCTCCTCCTCCTCCTCCTCCTCCTTCTCCTCCCCTCCTCCCCCTCCTTCCCCTCCTCCTTCTCTTCCTCCTCCTCCTCCTCCTCCTCCTCCTCCTCCTCCACCACCTCCTCCTCCTCCTCCTCCTCCTCCTCCCCCTCCTCTTCCGAATGTCTTCCCTCCTCCTCCTCCGAACTCCTCCAGACTCCCTCCGTCCTCCTCCGCCTCGTCTTCCGCTGCCTCCGTAGCCAGTTCGGCTCAAGTCGCCTGCGCCCGCGACTCGCAATGGCGCAGCGCGTTGGAGCCAGGTGATGGCGGAGAAACAGGGTGTTCTGTACGTTGCCTACAACTTGGCGACTGTGCCCGATTTAGGCGCTGTGCTAGGGCGCCTGTTTCGTGGCCTCGAGGTCGGGGCCCAGCAGGAGCTCAAGCGGAACATTGTTGTTTGCGAGGACGCAGGGCGATCACACCAGCATCGGCTACCGGATGGAGTATACGTTGCTAAACAGTCGGAAGCAGGACTACATCCAGGAGGCGCAGTTCGCAGCAGCGGTCAGTGCAAGGTGACCAGGTTGCGGACGCCGCCCAGACGCAAGCGGGTTCCCGAGACGCTAGTGGAGATCTGGCGTCCAGCGGCAGCTAAGCGAGAGGTTGCCAGGATAGCCTTCGAGGAGCCGAAGAAGGCCAGGCAGAGGAGCTGCGACGAGAGTGGCGTGACGAAGACCAGGATGAAGGAAAACCAGGTTTGCGGCTCGCCGCCCCGCAAGAGCAGCAAGGTGATCGCCAACGAGGCGGAGATGAAGTACCAGGTGGTTCCGAACTGGAAGTGTTTGCGGCCGAGCTGCCGTTTCACGAACTTCGGCTTCAGGCAGGAGTGCAAGAGCTGCTCGGCGATGGCGCCCTGGGTCTCGCTTCTGCTGGAGGACCTCCAGGCGGCGGAACGCGTGGGGGATCAACAAACGATCCAGCCCCTGGAGCATCACATGCAGATGCAGGAAATCATGCTTCAGCAGCCAGCGGACCAAAAGAGCAACTTGGACATGATGCTGCACACCACGGAGATGGGCAGCGACCTGGTCCACTGCGGAACTGGTCCGACGAGCAGTGCAGCGAGCAGTACTGCATAGGCGACGAGGAGGTGAGCTTAGCCACCCAGGACGAAGTACTTGAGGACGATGCCGACCTGCTCGAGCTCGAAAAGCAGCGACACCTCCTGAGCATTGTGTTCAGGGCGTGGGCTGGGGAGCTCAAGGATAAGAAGAACAAGGGGAAGAAGGACAATAAGGGCAAGGGCCGTAGAGGCGCCTCAGGAGCCAGCGGTGGGACTCACCGCAAGGCGAAGGCCAAGGAGAAGGATGAGGCGCCCGAGGCTATCACGGATGAAAATCTCGTGAGCATGATGGCGCAGGTGCTCAGACTCCTGGACAGCGGCGCGCCACAGGAGGTCAAGGCTGCTGCGCTTGGACATGCAGCCGAGCGCTTGGGGGTCCCAGTCGCAGGACGACTGGGCGCGAGCTGAGGGGGCGGCTCGGCGCGCGTCCGCGCTTCCAGTCGCCTCGGTTGGCTCCGCCTCGAAATTTTGCGGCGGCTGCCGGGCGGCCGCTGGGTCTCTCGCGTCGCCACGGCTTGACTCGCCTCGCCTGCGGCCGCCGTGATGGCGGACTGGCGCCACGCTGGATGCCCTCGTTTTGTTCGCTGGGCTTCGGCTCAGCACAGCGTCTCGGCCTTGGCCCAGGATGCCCCCGGCCGGCGCGCCAGCCTCCACAGACGGACGGCCTCATCAGCATCGCCAGCAGCCTCCTCTTCCTCCTCCGCCTCCTCCTTTTCCTCCGAATTCCCTCATCCTCCCAACTCCTCCTCCTCCTCATCATCATCCTCCTCCTCCTCTTCCTCCTCTTCCTCCTTCTCCTCCTCCTCCTCAGCCGAACTCCCTTTTCCTCCTTCTCCTCCTCCTTCTCCTCCTCCTTCTCCTCCTCCTTCTCCTCCTCCTTCTCCTCCTCCTACGCCGAGCTCCCTCCTCCTCCTCCTTCTCCTCCTCCTCCTCCTCCTCCTCCTCCTCCTCCTCCTCCTCCTCCGTCGAACTCCTCCGCGCCCGAGGCCGCGCCCGCGCCCGCGCCGCGGCCTGGCCCCCGCCCGGAGCCGCGCGAGGCCGCCGCAGCTCCGCTGCGCGGCCCCGCGGCGCGGCCGGCGGGCGGCGCCGCGCAGCGGCGCACGTGGCGCCCCGCCCGTCGGGGGGGGGGGGAGGCGCTGCGAAGCCCAAATGGGAGGGAAGGGGGGGGGGAGTTCGGAGGAGGGGGGGGAAGGAGGGGGAGGAGAGGGAGGAGGAGGAGGAGGAGGAGGAGGAGGATGATGATGGAGGATGAGGATGAGGATGAGGATGAGGATGAGGATGAGGATGAGGATGAGGATGAGGATGAGGATGAGGATGAGGATGACGATGACGATGATGAGGATGAGGATGAGGATGAGGATGGTGATGATGAGGATGAGGATGAGGATGAGGATGAGGATGAGGATGAGGATGAGGATGAGGATGCTGATGCTGATGCTGATGCTGATGATGCTGCTGCTGCTGTTGCTGTTGATGATGATGATGATGATGATGATGATGATGATGATGATGATGATGATGATGATGATGATGATGATGATGATGCTGAGGAGGTGGAGGAGGAGGAGGAGGAGGAGGCGGAGGAGGCGGAAGGAGAGGGGGAGGAGCAGGAGGAGGAGGAGAAGGAGGATGACGGGCGCCAGGCACGACACAGGCCTGGGCGGTTTGAGTGTTTTCCCAACGAAGCAACTCTGCGTAATCCGCCACGCAGGGAAGAGGTTGCGATTCAAAAAGTAACATGTGTCCCTTCCACCCACATGAATTCATTCTTTCGTGTTCCACCACATGGAATATGTTTGTAATGCCCCAGTTTCTTCGACGACGAAACACCGAGTTCGGATTACAAGTGAGTTGACTTGCGGCGGAATGCCAAATAATCCCCGTTGTGTCGGAACAAGGATTCCTTGTGTGGCAGAAAACCAAGAGCATTCCTTTCGTGGCGAAATGCAAAGATAATCGTTCTGTGGTGGATTACAAACAGGCTTTTTTTGTGGTGGGATACACAAGGAATCCTTTTCTGGCCGACTAAAGGTCCTCCTTGCGGCGGAATGTTCAAGGGCTCTTCTTGTGGCAGAATACAAACTGATTTTTCTTGTAGTGGAATTCGCATGGATTCCTTTTGTGGTGAAACACACAGGGATTGTTTATTGTGGCAGAGTACAAGAAGAATCCTTCTCTGGTTGTTTACGAAGGGACTCCTTATGTGGCAGAAAACAGAAAGAATCGTATTGTGGTTTCCCCGCGTGGCGAAAGAAAGGACCCCCATTGGTGGCCGAATACAACCGGATTTTTTCGGGGCCGAATATTGAGGAATTCGTTCTGTGGTGGATTGCAAAGGAATTCCTGCTGTGGCGGAATACAACAATTATTTGTTGTGGCCAAATACACAAGGTTTCCCCCTCTGGCGGGAGAGTAATCCAGAAGGATTTCTTTGTGGCAGAAAATTATAAAAAAAAAAAAGAATTTTCTCGGTGACGGAATACAAAAGGTTCCTTTTTATGTTGTGGAATACTCAGAGATGCCTTGTGTAGCGGAGTACAAAAAGGAACCAATCTTCCTGCGGTTGATTACCAAAGGTTCCCCAAAATCGCGAATTTCAAAGAGAATCATTTTGTGGCCGAGTACAACAGAGTTCCTTTTGTGGCGGAAAACAACAGCATTCCCTTTGTGGCGGAATACACACGAATTCTTTTTTTATTGTAGACTATCCTGGGATATCTTTTGTGGCAGAATGCAAAAATATACTTTTGATGCGTATGATTACCAAAGGATCCTTACCGTGGCGCAATGCAATGGGAATCCTTGTGTGACCGAGTACAAAATGGTTTCCCTCGTGGCGGAATACAAACGCATTCCTGTTGAGGCGGTTTCTTTATCAATAAACGAATTGGTGCAGAATGCAAAAAGACCTCCTTGCGTGGTTAATAACAGTGGGCGTCCTTATGTGGCGGAATACAGGAGGAGCCCCTTGCGGCCGAATGCAATAGAGTCCCTTTTTGTGGCGGAATACACAAGGATTCGCTTCGTGGCAGAATAGAACAGGTTTTTCCTTTTGTGGCGGAGTAGGAAAGGATTCCTACGGTTCCGGCGATATCCTGCGGCCTACTGGCTCCACTCGTTTAGAGGGGCACTTTCACCGTTCATCGTGGTCCGTACCGTCGCCTCTGGATTTCAGCTGTTGCCGGACAATTCTTGCGCTGCTGCTCAGGTTCACAAGGATTCCGCCTCATATCCAGACGTCGCTACTGGTGGAGTTATTGATTCTGTCACTTGCAGGACAACTGATTCGACGTACGTGCTGTCGTTCCCTTCAAGAAGGAACGCGGCGTCCCCTGAGACTATTGCTGGCTTCGTTCCGACGCTCGATTGCGACGTGACCGCATCTCCGGCTGTAGTCCGTTTGCTCCATACCCAGGACGATGGAGGCGCTACTCCCCTGGAACTTGACGTCGACTTTGCCCGCGAGAGTGAGCGGCCCGTTTGGGTATACCGTGACGGCGAGACCTTGGCTCACAAACCAATGATGTTTCTCAGCACCTATGCTCGCTCGCTTCAGTGTGTTAATGTGGCGAATTATCACGCGCAACATCAGGACCGTGCCGCTGCTGAGCTTGGGCCTATTCGCTCGTCTTCGTCCTGAAAGCCGTTTCTGGTGCTTCCGTTTCCGGACGCGTCCTTGACCGCCCGTTCATGGGGCATGGTTGAGCACGTCAGGGACGCGCTGTGTGAAAGAGCTTGCGAACGCGACCCGTTGCGCGCGGTTAAACTGGGAGCGTCTTGCTTTACTACCTGCTCTTCGCTTTGGCTTGCGTGGGTCCCTGGGTCCTCTAGTGGCGTTAGATGCTCCGGTGCTCGACAGCTTCTGATGGGCGCTATCAACAAGTTGGATCTGCCGACCTGCTTGATGGTTCTAGCTTGGCCAGCGTTTTACATAATTTGCCATTCGGTTGGAATTTTAGCTGAGCTGGTTCATGATCGGCCCAGGGGGCAGTCTCGCGGATTTTGCCAGATTATAGTTCTCGTCATCATGGGGATGGTGCTCGCAAGGACAACTGATGCTCAATTCAATGATTTGCAGTCGTTGTCCACCATCCAGAATGTCATCAGTCTGTAGAGCTTGGCTGGATACCGCCTCTGTGCGAGCTCATCCGGTTGAGCTCGCGGCCGGCCGGGTATATTTGGGTCTCGTTGGAGCAGCCCCCACCACAACGAATGGATTGCTTGCAGCGCTTGCTTCGACGTCCGCGATGGGCGCCTCCAGCGTCGGTGAATATCACGTGGCGCAGGCAGTTGCGGGGCCCGCGATGGCGGCCCTCACTTTCGCCAGTTCGGCCAGCATTCATCTGCAGGCTGGGGCGATGGCGATGTCCGTGGCCGCGCGCCTCTTTGTCAGCGCATTCCCCCCTTTCGATTTCCTCGCGCTTTCAAGCGGGGCTGGGTTTCGTCTGACGGGCTCCCGGGCCGTCCTGCCTGAAGGAGTGGCCGTGGGTTTGGCTGCTGGGTCGCGCTTCGCGCCAGATGGATGACCGCGCTCCCCTTCGGGCTAGCAGCGTCAGACCATCAAGCACGCAAGATCACCATCGCCTCGGCGGAGCCCGTGGATAATTTCGGAAAGGCCATTCCGATTGCTTTTCCCTCGATGCGTCGGATTGCGGCGCTGTTTACCCCAATGCAATGCAATTGCCCCGTGCTCACCGCGATTGCATTTGTGGCTTCAGCAGTTATCGGCGCGACTGAGGGCGCGGCGGTACCCATGCGTGGCGAGCTCGCCGCAGAGGCGGTCAAGCAGGCAGCTGCTGCGGGCAGCGGCGCGCATGTTGCACCGTCTGGATTGGGTGGCCAGGCGGGGCCCCCTTCCCTCCCAGAGCCGGAGTCCGAACCGCTTCTTCAAGCAGTGCAATCCAACGCGGAGCGCGCGTTTAGTTGCGCCCGCGCGATCATCACTCGCAGCGTTTGGCCTGTCAAGAAGGACTTTTGCAGCGTCGACAAGTGGCAGAATTCCGTCAATTATAGGCTTCGCTCAGCTCGGGGCGACGAAGAGTCGAACGGTTTGGCGTCGGCCAACGCCTCGCTCACCGGCGCGACAGGGGCCTGGCCCTTTCGGTGGCAGCGCCGCTGGCCAATCCTACCAACTACCACACGTATCTGGCCATTGTGGCTCAGCCATTGCCGCTGGCCATTTTCCGGCATTCACGGGCCGTGGCGCCCCGCGCTTTCAAGATCGCTCCGGGCGCGCACCTCGCGGCGCTGCGCTGTCTGACAGCCTCCAATCCCAGTGGGACTCCAGTGCCCCCGCTCCCAGTTGCAGGCGGAAAGTGCTTCGTGGCCACATATCTGGCTTCAGTGTGAGTCACAACCAAGCTTCGGTTCAATCTACAAGTGAATCCACAGGCATCTGCGACGGGCTCGCGCTGCCGGCCACCAACCCAACCTGCGCGTCAACAGGAGGCGCTCTCCCTGATGGCGCCAAGAGGAGGGTGATTGCTCACGCCTCTCGTGGGGCTGATGCGGGGGCTGTCGTCGAACACGCCAGCGAGGTTAACTCTGAATTGCGTTTCGTCCTCCATGACCGTCCCGCCGCGTCAGTGGCGGGATATTCTTGAGGGCCTGGACATTTCACTTCTGGGACGGGCGTCGCGTCGCAGACGGTCAATCTCGGAATGGGCCATGGGCGTGGCACTTGCGCTGCCTTGAAGCGGGGCGTCTCGGCCCATGCTCACTTGACTGAGCTGACTGGGGAGCGGTTCAATTCGCCGTTGACTCTCATTGAGGGTCTGACGCAGCACTCTTGGGAACTTGTTTTCAAGACCCCCGAAGATCCATCGCTACATTCAAGTGGACTAGAGAGTCGACGTTCGGGCGCTCGTTAGGGCACGCGCTGCCGCGGCGGGTCACGTTTGATTCGCATTGGCGTACGTGGGCCATTTGGGCCTCGACCGGCTCGTTGCGGTTGTTGACCTAGCGGCGAGACGGCCCACGGAGGCCCAGGACTCGGCTCAAACCAGCTACAGGAGAAGAAGGCACTCAGGGAGAGGACCAGCAAGAACGAGGAACCGAGATCATGGCAAGGAATTCCATCGCAGATCAGCTGCAGGCATGCAGGAAGGAGTTTGTGGATGTGGAGTCCAAGCTAGCATTCGAGGGATGGGCGTCCATCGACGCCCAGGCTGAAGCTTTCGGCGTGGAAAATCCCCAGCATGGTGAGGAAGCAACTCGTAAATGGACCGAAGCAAAGAAGGCAGTTGATAATGCTCGCCAACAGATCTAAAAGAAGGAGAGAGAGATATCGCAGAGATCACAAACGATACTGGGAAAAAGGTGAGGCAAGTTCAACTGGATAATCTCAACGAGGCGTTCCTCGAGAAGGTAGCCAGTCTGAGCGCAATCGGGGCCGGAGCCGATGCAGAGATGCGCCAGGGGCTGGGAAAAGCCATTGGTGATGCCAGGCTTGCAATGCAGGGAGAACTGGAGGCTTCCTCAGAAATTGTGAAATCTCTCGAGCTTCAGCTGAGGAGTTCGGAGAGAGACCTGACAGACCCGGGGGGCTTGACGGCAGGAGCGGCTGAGGCTGGCGGCATTTTCCCCGAGGCTCATCCAGAAGAACTCTCGACGAGGTTCTTCCCTGCTGGCGGTAAAGGAGACTCGAAGACACAGGGTGGGATCTCAGGCGCGGCCGCGTGGGTTCGCCGGTGGAATTCACTGCAGCAGAAAGACAGGGACATCTTGGCCACGCTCATCATAATGACTGGCGCGGCTCTCGCGGCAAGGGGGCCGAAACAGTTGGAATCTGTCAGTTGGCACGCGGTGCGGAAGACACCATTGGGTCTCCGCATGGACCAATCAACCGAATGAGCCCTCGTCTGCCTCGCCAGCACTTCTCCGAAGAGGCAGGCGGCCACCATGCTAACTGGACGCCTGACGAGCTCGAACAGCTTCATCGGGGTGGCTCCGGAGGTATCTCTTCGCATAATGGACAACAATACCCGAGGGGGGCTTTTGGGCTACGAGCCAAAGCCGGAAGCGGTCGAGCTCTGGGAACGCCCACGCACAGAGAAGCTCCTCGCGCTCATAGCGGGGCGCACGAGCAAACATTTGCGTCAAAGGATGGCAGACTTCGAGAAAAGTGTGGCAGTCTCAGAGGACATCACAAGGCACCCGTTTAATTTCGGCCTGGGGCGGGCTTCTCCCCATCCGTGGGCCAACAAGGTCCAACTTCCGGCCACCAGCTGGATAGACACGAGCGCCATACATCGAACGGTAGAGTCTGCTAGCCTCCTCATCGCTCACCCGGACGGGGCCACTGCGGCGAAGGGAATGGCAGCACGCTTGAACAACATTCTAGCCGACTTCGAGAAGTTTGAAGTCCTTCCTGAAGAACAGGAGCAGGAGGTGGCCCCGAGGGGGTTCGCCAATTCGGGATCCGTCCGAGTGGGGAGTTCTGGAGAGGAAGTCGGTGAAGGTGAAGAGGAGGAAGAGGAGGAGTTCGAGGAAGTGGGTGTCGCAGACGAGGACGGTGAGTCCTGAAAGGGCTGGGGCCTCTCAAAACCCGAACGCCCTGCCTTTGGAGTTCGTGGGCCTGGAAGCTGAACAAGGGGGGGATCCTTTTGCATTCGGCCACAGAATGTATCCTTGTGTATCCCGCCGCAGAGGGCATTTTATAATTATTATTTTTAAACACAAATCTCCGACACAAAGGGAAGCCATTTGTAGTCAGCCGCTTGAAGAATCATGTTACGTTCCGCCGCACAATGAATTTGCGTATTACAAGAGCTTTCCGTGTGTGGTCGGATACTAATGGTTTCTTTTGGGTGGAGTGGACGAAGATGTGTTTTTGAGTGGAATGCGCATCGTTTCCTTGTGTGGCGGGCTCCAGAACGATATTTGTCGTGACCTCCTTTGGAGAACAACAAACAGTCAAACCGCCCAGGCCTGCATCGTGCCTGGTGCGAAGGGAAGAGGAAGAGGAGGAGGAGGAGGAGGAGGAGGAGGAGGAGGAGGAGGAGGAGGGAGAGAGGAGGAGGAAGAGTAGGGGAGGATGAGGAGGACGAAGAGGAGGAGGAGGAGGAGAGGAGGAGGAGGAGGAGGAGGAGGAGGAGGAGGACAACGAGGAGTAGGAGGTGGAGGAAGAGGAGGAGGAGGAGGAGGAGGAGGAGGAAGAGGAGGAGGAGGAGGAAGAAATGGGAGGAGGAGGAGGAGGAGGAGGAGGAGGAGGAGGAGGAGAGGAGGAAGGATCCTGCAAACCCAGACTGACCCGGGTTTGCATTGACCCGGGCCAGTGCGTCCCCCACTCGAGTTGGTTGGGCTCGGGCTCTCCGCCGCTTTTTGCCCGGCCCGGCCTGACTTTTGACGGTTCGGTTTCCGTGGGGCGTTTGCAGCGGGAGTTCGCGGCAGATTCTAGATTGGGCCTCCTGCTGTTTGGGTCCCTTCGCTGGTCCCTGGGAACGGTGGCCGCCTGTCCACCTGGTCCGCGTTGAAATCCTCTGTATCACGCTGCGGAGCAGCTCTGCTGTAACGATTTGCGGTGTCCGAGGGCGTGGTCATCGATGAGCTGGGTTGCTTTGCGCTGGGAAGAAAAAATCAAAAAAACAAAAAAAACAAAAAAAAAAAAAAAAAAAAAAAAAAAAAAAAACAGGCCGAGTCGTGCGTCTCCCCGATCTGGGCGCTGCAATTTTTTCACACTGGGCGTCTGCGCCCAAGTTTGGGCCCCAGGAGCATCACAGATCGGTCGGGCTCGAAAAGCGCAGCAGGCAAATTAGATCTAGGGCTCTGGTCGTGATGTTCCGCGATATTGGATTTGTTTCGCAACGTCGGATCTCAGGGTATGCTTGCTGAAGGAAGGGAGGGGGAGGGCGGAGGAGTGAGGAAGGAGGAGGGAGGAACAGAAGGAAGGGAGGGTGGCAGGGGTGAGGAGGAGGAGGAGGAGGAGGAAGAGGAGGAGGAGGAGGAGGAAGAGGAGTGAGGAATGAAGGGAGAGCAGATCGGTCTCCAAGTTTGTTGTTCTCACCTTCTCCTCCTTATCCTCATCCTCATACTCCTCATTCTACAAAGCAAATCCGCCACCACATGCGGCTATGGAGTAGTAGTAGGCGCCAGTTAGACATCAGACGGCACTCTGTCACTACCTAGTGGCCCAACCGTCAACCTGGGATGTCGACTCGTGCCGAATGGCCGCGCCTGGCGGGCGTCGGCAAGCGTTCGCAGCATCGCTACCCATCGCCTCCTCTTCCACCCCGTCCTTCCCCTGCCATCCCGCAGCACGCACGATTGCATTCAGTTTGGTGAGTTCGCGCTTCCAGGCAGTGTGCAAGCAGACAACGCCGGAGGAGCTCGACCGCCATTTTCCGGTCGAGGTCATCCAGAGCCTGGGGAGCAGGCCTCCTGAGCCGCAGCCTTGCACGTATGCCCCTCCCCTACACCTCACCTCATCTCCCACCCCTCTCTCTCTCTCGAATCCCCTCCCCTCGCCTCGAGATTGTTTTTTATCCGTAACGTCGCTTACGGGGGTGTGGCCCCCCCCCTGCCCCCGCATAACGGTAACGAACGTACGGGGAGGGGATCCCGGTCCCCCGCCCCCCCCCCCCCCCCCCCACGGCTATGCCACCGTGCTCACGGGCATGGTCCATATGGTGTGGTGCTGACAGGCACCAGAGAGCCTCCAGACGCCTCCCCTCCAGGGGCAGACGTCGTCGTCGTCGCCGTCGCCGCCGTCGTCGTCCTCGTCTTCGTCGTCGACGTCGTCGTCGTCGTCGCCTCCGTCGTCGTCGTCGTCGTCGTCGTCGTCTCCGTCGTCTTCGTCGTCGTCGTCGTGGTAGTGGTCGTCGTCGCCGTCGTCGTCGTCGTCGTCGTTATCGTCCCCGTCGTCGTCGTCGTCGTCGTCGTTGTCGTCGTCGTTGTCGCCGTCGTCGTCGTCGTCGTCGTCGTTGTCGTCGTGATCGTCGTCGTTGTCGCTGTCGTCATCCTCGTCCTTGTCCTCGTCCCCGTCCTCGTCGTCGTCGTCGTCGTTATCGTCGTTGTCGTCGTCGTCGTGTCCGAGGGCCTCGCATGGCCTCCAGACGCCTCCACACAAGCCTCCGGAGGTCTCCTGGGGCCTCGGGAGACTCTGCAGACCTTCAGAGGTGGCCGTCGTCGTTGTTGTGATCGTCGTCGTCGTCGTCGTCGTCGTCCTTGTCGTCGCCGTCTTCGTCGTCGTCGACGTCGTCTTCCTCGTCGTCGTCCTCGCCCTCGTCCTTGTCGTCGTCGTCGTTTCCGATGGCC